AAAAAAAAAAAAAAAAAAGATGAATGGAGATAAGAATAATGGAGTGGCGTAATAATGGGAGAGAGATAAGAAACTTACCATAAAGATAGGTGTGCCATATTTTTTAACTGATTTGTTTCCATAAAATTGAGCTTTAATAATATACAAAAATAATAATTATTCAAAAATATTTTTACAAATAAAATTGGTCAATTTAATTAATCTGTAAATAAAATAATAAGAGCTACAATTATATAATAAAAAATATAACTTAAGTGCGGCATAATTTTCTCAAGATAATATAGATTCCACAAAATTAAACTTAAACCTCAAATCCAAATTAACAAGAATCGTAACCTACCCAATTTCGCACGCAGTATTGGAATGTAGCATGGGCTTGACCCATCATTTCATTCTCAACAATACAGTTGATTAATAACACACATTGATATTTGATACACAGAGGAAAACAAATAATAATAATAATAATAATAATAATAATAATAATAATAATAATAATAATAATAATAATAATGATAACGAATTCCTACATGAGCAAACCCGAGCCACGGAACTTTTCCTGGGTGATGCGATCAATGGTGTGGGCCATTTCGGGCCCCAAATAATTTTCCCAATCCCCGACCACACCACGCCGGAAAAACGTCCTGTTCTCCTCCCCGGACGACAGCTTCCCGGTCTTATTAACCTGGAGCCCGCTCAGGCTGTCGAAGCTGCACATTTCGAGAATGCTGTCCACGAGGCCCGCGGCCTCCTCGTCGTGGGTGAAGGGGCAGCCGAGGAAGTCGGCCAGGCGCCTGAGCACGGGGCCAGGGCTCTCCTTGAGCTCTTCGTACCTGAGGAAGAGGAAGGTGTCGGGGGTGTCACGGCTCTTGTACCAGTAGGCGAGCACGTGGTCCCAGAAGGGCCCGAAGAGGCTGACCCCGCGGCAGAACATGTGGAGCACGTCCCGGACGGGGGTGGGGGTGGACCCCTTGGGCTTGAGGGCATTCGTGAAGTGCCAGAGGGAGACAAAAACGTCCTTGGGATCCCGGCAGAGGTAGACCACCTTCCCGCCATTTGAGCAATAGGGCAGGGAAGAGAGGGGCAGGTGGGTGGCTAGGATGCGGCGCGGGTGGGAGGGGAAGGAGGAGGGGTCGGGGGCTTGGCCGTTGACGAAGAGGCTGATCTCAAGGAAGGGGACGAGTTGGTGGGGGCTGGCGGAGGAGAGAGGGTGGTTGGAGGAGGAGGAGGGAGGGTGATTGGCACGGTTGGCGAGGGTGAAGACGAGGGCCTTCAGCCAGGTGGTGCCCGATTTTGGGGTGGTGACGAGGAGGATGTCGGTGGGGAGGGGCCGGAAATGGGTCTGGCAGGCCACGACCCCCTGGAGGTAGCGGGCGGGGTACCAGAAGCCCTCGTACCGGTACAGGTGTGCCGCCAACCAACCCTTTTCTTTCGGGAGCCTTGAGATGGTGTTTCGGATTTCTGCGGTTAGGCTTTCTTCGTCTTGTAGGTATTCCGGAGGACTCATTTCTGACGGCATTCTCTCTATCTATCTGTATGAGGATGCTTTTGTGAGTGGTGTTATTGTGTGTTTGACATGCAACTCATTTCATGTTCATATATAGAGGGATTGGGTGCAATGTGGATGTATATATTGTGAGTAAATTGATTTTGCATCATCATTTGTTTGTTTCCAAGGGTTAATTTTGGGGTTTGGTTTTGTTTATAATTAAACGAGATGCATACATACATGTGCGTGTATTAAGATATGGTGATGTGGTTGATTAGTATATTGGTTGCGTTGGTGGTGTGATCAAGTGGTCCCAAGTCATGAGTGCATCAAGGACGACAAATTCCCACTCTAAACTAGTTGTGAGACTTGAAATAATATCTACCTTTTATTTGAATGACAATTAATTATTTTATGTTATTTTATTTTTTAACTTTATGGTAGAACAATATCTAATATTTTGAAACTCCCAAAATGAAAAAAAAAAAA